TCACTGGCTTCATCCTAATTTGAAATCTAAAGCTCAAGTAAATAAAGATTGGTCTAACCCTGCTGCTCTAGACACATCTGCTCCACCTGTGAAGGAAATTACCACAAGATAGGAATTGGTGTCTGATTTAATTGCCTTTGTGGACCCCCTTGACAATATTGTTTCTGTTTCTATGATTGATGTGCTGTCGGATGACTCTGCTTGACAACCTACACCTTCAAACCTTATTGAAAACAATACTGAGAGATCCTTACCTACAAATGATAGTGTTCGGACCGATAATCAAGAAAGCTTTGCAGCTCCTCTTCTTCAGGAAGTATCTGGTGTAGAGGCGACGACCCATACTTCACATACACTAGAACCTATTGTGATTACAATGATTGGAATCTTTCTACTACGATTCTACCACCTATTTCGAAAGAGCAAGTTGTTACTTTTAGTCAGGCACTAGGGACTCATTAGCTAAGAAATGTTGAATAACACACTGATCAGATGAGTCAATCTTTGGATGAGGAATGACAGATTTATACATCCAGGAGGAAGAAGAATAATGGAGACCTACTTGAGCTCAGGAATCTAATGGATGATGCTTTGGTTACTTCGGGTAATTGTACGCACCTCACCAATTTGTTAGCCCGACTCTCTTCCGAGAACTAGAGGCAGAGACAAGACTAAGTTGGGTTGTCCCTAACTTTTTGCGTGTTTTGGTGGTTTTTGTTTTTTGATCTTACACGTATCTTTTCTTTTCTTTTTTAGTTTTCTGTGTGTTGTATCATGTGGGTTGGGTGCATTCTTTTGGGCCAACTCATACAATCTATCTGCATTTTTTCCTTTTTAATATATTAGCCCTTGAGTTTTTAAACAAAAAAAATCCTTTTTAATATATTAGCCATTAAACGTGTTTCGTTCGAGGGCTAACCCTAGCAACAGTTACGGCTTCGCTCGTCTTTGCATTCGATTCCTTTCGTCTTCTCCGGCTCTGAGACGTTACAGCTTCGCTCTCGCGCTCGATTCCGTTTGTCTTTCCGGCTTCTTCTCCGGGTCCGAGACGCGTTTCGCGCTCTGCTGCTCCTCTGCGGAGGCTCCTCTGCGACTCTGCGACTCGTCTCACGTCTCACGTCTTTCCTCTGCGGCTCCCTCTCGCGGGTGCGCTCCTCTGCGACTCCTCTGCGGCTTATCTGCGCTCACAACATCCTCTCTTCTTTCTTTCAAAGCTTTTGATGGCTTCGAACAGATTGTATGCAGCTGCCCTTGCGGGTGTCCACGCCTCAGACACACACACCTCAGGTACAGCTAAATCGCCATCTTTCCATCATTCATTTGAGTGGGCGAAGGATATCAAGAAACATGTTAGGATAGAAGTCTGCCATCTTTTTTACAGAAGCTGAAGGTATTCAACTTGCTTCCTCTTGTCGTATGAATTTGGTTGGGAAATTTCCATATGGTCATCGCAAAATGGAGCTCATTCGCAAAAAATTTGAACTTATGCACGTTGTTGGAGATTGAAAAATTGGACTATTAGATGAGAGACACATTCTTATTCAAATTACTAATGAAGATGATTACATGCGCTTATTTGCTAGAATGATATTCACCTCTCTGGCCTGAAATTTTATTATTTTTCTCAAAAAGTATTGTGCTCTATTGCCTTAGCTTATGGAAAGCCACTCAAGATGGACATTCTTACTTTTAAAATTTCTCGTCCATCTGAAGCCAGAATACTTGTTGAAAGAAACATCACTACACTCGCTTCTGAGGAAATCTGGTTGAGCACACAACACCAATGATATTGACAGAAGGTAGAGATTGATCTTTTTCCGTCGTATTGTTCGAACTGTCGTATGTTTGGACACTCCAGTTCTCAATGTCATCATCTACATCCCCTCCTCAGACCAACAAAATAAACTGCTCCGCTAGAGGCTGTGATTTAAAGACTGTGATTTCATCTCTTCTGGACCAGCTCCAAGTTTTTGACACTATTGATAATCAAAAGGATACCCCGAAAGACGTCACTTTCCCCGCAGGTAATATGTCAACCATTCAGTCCCCACTTGTAGCTCCCCCATCTTTGGAACCTCCTATCGTGGGGGAAAGAGAGATTCTTCAGACCCCGCCTGCCTTAGAACCTATCACCGATAATACATGTGGAAATACCTCTACTGTTTCACTAGTGTTTCACTACTGTCTCATCAGGTCCTGAAAGATATTAATATTTCTTAGACTCATGTGGATCATGATGTGCAAGGACGTACAACTGTCCGACCACCTTTGGAATCTACTGATCAAATGAGCCAATCATCGGATGAGGAATGACAGATCTACACATCCAAGAGGAAGAAGAAAAATGAAAATCTTTTTAAGCTCAAGAATCTGATGGATGATACTTTGGTTACTACGGACAATGATCCTCACCGTCCGACCACCTTTGGAATCTACTGATCAAATGAGACAATCATCGGATGAGGAATGACAGATCTGCACATCCAAGAGGACATCCATGAGGAAGAAGAAAAATGAAAATCTACTTGAGCTCAGAAAACTGATGGATGATACTTTGGTTACTACGAGCAATGATACTCACCTTACTAGTTTGTTAGCCGGCTCACTTCCGCGAACTAGAGACAGGAGGAGTAAAGTGGGACGTCCTTAGTACTTTTGTGCCCTTTTGTGACTTTTGATTTTTTTCCTTTATGTATCTTTGTTTTATTTGAGTTTTGTGTGTGTTGTTTTGTATGAGTTAGACTTTCTTTTAGGCCCTTTCATGCAACATTTCTGTATCTTTTCTGTATTAATATATTTGCCCTTGGGCTTATATATATATATATATATATATATATCAGGATTTCATAAAGTAAATACTTGCATAATGAGAAGTTAATATTTTATTAAAATTATAAATTAATTAAATTTTTATCATGTTTAGAAGAATTGCGTGAAGCACAAGCTTATTGTCTATTAACAAGGTGAGTATCTATTTTTTTAAATTACAATATTATTTTAGTATTGCTTCTAAGCTAAGTATTGATTGTTATTCACACTTGGTAATGAAATTGATTTTTTTATTATTAAATTTTATTGGTTATTTCGGCACAAATGCTTATATTCACATATTATGGAATAATTGATGCATTATAGTATTACATGCTGAGTGATATGAAATGTGAATGATATATTCTACATAGTGATTATATATGCATATTTGACTATGATGGAGTTACCCCTTGATGGTACAAGTAGGGAACATTAAGATATCCGTGCACGTTTATGAAACTGATATGGTTGTTGAAGCTAGAGTGCAAGAGATTCGAAAGTTGCATGAGGAGGTTGGAAACAGATCACCAAGTAGAACCACAAGTGGCAGGAGCAAGTTAATGAAACCAAGAAGAAGGTGACCTTTTATGAGGGAGATTTAATTTTCATTAGTTTGAAGAAAGAGGTTTCCCGTGGGATCTTTTGGGGTACTTAAACTTAGAGTAGATGGATCTTTCAGGATCCCTAAGAAGCTAAATGAAAACACCTACATGATTGAATTAATGGGAGATTACAACATGTTTGCCACCTACAATTTAACCGACTTGACTCCATACTATGAGCAAAAAGAAGGTTTGACAAATGAGGACGAAACTCCCTTAACCCCAAGTGTCGGGAGATTAACGTGGGGCGTGGACATCTGGGACGCGTGGCGTCTGGGATGTGGGGCGTCTGTGTTGCCTACACCGGTTCTGTCCAGGTGAAATTGAGGGCCGACCGACTCTCAAGGTTTAGATATTACCGCCTAATTGGAGTGGGGTAGGACTATATATTTCCTTTAGTTGGTGTGTAGTGTTTGGTTTTTGTTGTGATTTGTTTTTAACAGCAGTCGGCGTCTCTTTTCCCTTTACACGCTGTATCCTAAGGTTTCAAGTGGTGACCTATTGTATCTTGTTCTTGATGTGGTGTTTATCCTTCATGTACCTTTTCCCCAATATTTTTCACACATTGCCACATCCATTTCCTTGTTTTCCTTGTTGCTGCCACCCTGAACAGCACCTCCCACTGTTGTTTTTGTTGCTCGCCACTTTCCCATTCCCATCACTGCGCCACCTTTCAGCTTATTAGCCAACCCCTTTGTCACCTTCCCGAAGTTCCAAACCCCTAACTGGAACCACCTCCACGCTAGATCCTATTCTAGTTCGAGTGTATGTTGTTGTTTTGTTGAAATTTCAGAATTCTTTATTATTTTGTTGTAATTTCAGATTTTGAAGTCTGTAATAATATTTACTTTCTCTTGGATATTTGTTAAATCCTGGTGTCATACTTTGACGGCGTGTGTTTCATCATATTGTTTACTGTTTTTCTTTATCTGTGTTTGAGTGGTGCATAGGTGATCACAATTTATTTCAATTTTTTGTTTGGATGATTGTCTTCAGTATAATGCTTTTGATCCCCGTAAAGAGATGAAAACAACGGAGAGATACTTATTTTAATTTATCAAATTCTTTTCTAAGTTTGTACTCAAAGATATTAGAAATTGCATTTTGCACCAAGGATTCAAATTCTTTATGTGCTGTGTGTGTGTAATATTGCAACATAAAATGTTCTACTGGGTTTGAAATTAACATTGCAATTTAGCACTCTATTTGCACACATTTCCTTGTGACAAGCTTGAAGTTCGTCCTCTCTAATTTGTGTTGCAAGTATGTTTCTCTCTGATGAGCTCTTAAACAATGGCTGTGGCAGTTTTGTTGATTGTTCGTTACTATCATTTTAGGCCTTTTGTTACTCGTTGTCAAGATGAGAGGTGTCAGGTAGTATACCCCACACAACTTTATATTGCAGAAAACCAGGTTATTCGGTTAGCTTTTCTTTAGTTATAGTTTTAGATGCTTTGTTTTTCTTATGTTTAATTGCACTAGTTCATCACACAAGCCCATGATACAATGGTTCCTTTGAATTACTTTTATTTTTGCATTAACGGTAGATTGAACTTTATAGTTAAATCATATTTCTTTTGACTCTAGGCTGGGAATCATTTAAAAGATGAGGTCTGGCATTACCTAATAGTTGTTATAAGCAACGCAAGCGATCTTCAAGGATACTCTGTGAGGGCACTATATAAGGCTTTTCAAAAATCTTCTTCCCAGGTAAGATATTTTTAATGGTCATTTTCAACATCCAACATGGTTTCCATTGTTTTATCCTGTTTCTTAATACTGTTGTAGATTGGTTTAGTGCGTGTTGCACTATGGTGCATTGGTGAATATGGGGAAATGCTAGTTAAAGGAACTGGTATGCTTGCAACAGAGGATCCTCTGACTGTGAGTTAAATTTTACTCTGCTTTAAATTTACAGTTATCTGGTGTAATTTTGTTATTAGTACTCATTTTATCTTTTAAACATTCTGGATCAGGATGCAAGCAATGAGATGATTTATTTATTTATTTTTTAATGTACAACTAGTCTTTACTCAGCTCTTGAAAGAAGTGAATGGTGAGGAAGGTTTCAGTTGGCGAAGTTCAAACAAAAAATTGAGTAAAACCCAAAATAGCCCCTGACTATAAAGAAGTGTCCAATTTAGTCTAAGAGATTTAGAATGCTCCAATTTAGTTCCAGATTATTAAGTGTTGCTTCAAATTGTTCTTCAATCATATTTTTCGTTAAATTTAATAGTAGCCTACATAAATTGAAGAGTATTTTAGTCTTTTATGTATTATTCAAAATTTATGAGGTTTGTATATAAATATTTTTTTATTTGTCGTTGAAAATTTATAATTTTTAATTTGCATTAATAAATGTCTTCAAAACTGCAATCAACTTTTTTTCAAATGAAAAATTTTAAAATAATCAAGAATTATGCAATAAAAACTCATTGAATCTGAAATTATAAGAATTATGCAATAATTGAATTTTAAATTTTAATATTATTTATTAAAAAATATTTTTTAAAATCGTTAAAGTTAGCTTTAAAAATTAATGAATGAATTTACTTTATGTTTAAAACATTACGTATGAGAATGATAAAATTTTGGGATTGATGGCCAATTATATGTTTACACAAATATATATAATAACATAAGGTTGTGCAATATTAAATTGAAAACAGTTTTTTCCTACTTATTTATTGCAAAGTTATTGATTGATAAAAAGTAAAATTATATTTTGTTTGATTGATTAAATAGTGTGCTTAATACTAAATGGTTGGCTATTTATGAGTTCAATTGATGATCCAACAAAAAATTTCATTTGAAAGAAATTGATGACTGTTGTGAAGAGATTTCTTAATGTAAACTAAAATTTATAAATTTTCAACAACGAATAAAAAAGAAATTTATATACAAACCACTTAAATTTTAAATAATTACATAGAAGAACAAAATACTCTTCAATTCGTGTAGATCACTATTAAAATTAATGGAAAATATGATTTAGTATCAATTTGGAGCAACTTTGAATAGTTTGGGACTAAATTGGAGCATTCTAAAACTTTGAGACTAAATTGGATACTTCTACGTAGTCGCGGACTATTTTGGGCTTTTATTCATAAAAAATTATTCATTATTTCTTTAGGTCTTCAAAACATCTAACCCTTTTGGAAGGGAACTTCGTCGTTTACATTGCAAAGTTTCCTCCAACCATTCAAGTTCTCTTTTGAGGGTCACATGAGGTGTCACATTTTACTGCCTCTATTACCAGCTCCGCCTTTTAGTTTATTTACTCATGTTTCTTAGCTAATAATCTTTTTTTTTTTTTTGAATTGCAAAACCCTTAACCAATTTCATTAACCTTTTATGTCATTAAAACAATTTGCGGATTTAGCCAACTTAATATCCTTCTCTTTTATCCTTTGAAGATAAATTTAAGGGGTTTCATTATAGAATCATGAAAAATCTAGACCATTGTCGCATGTTAGAAAGCTGAACCAAGGTTTTAAAACCCTAAACCTGATTATTCACTCTTTTTAGTTAATTTACTCATGTTTCTTAGCTAATAATCTTTTTTTTTTGAATTGCAAAACCCTTAACCAGTTTCATTCCAACATTCTGAATTTTTTGGTGCTCTTGTTGATTTGCTTGGCAGTGAAGGTTATACCAACATTCATGCCATGCTTTATTAAGTCTGTCGAGACAGCCCTAGTCTGTTTCTTTTGAGTTTGATTATTATAATTTACCGAGAAAAAGAAAAAAAAATTTGTGTGACGGTAAATGTGTAACTACGGTGAATTGTAGCATGCTGACGGAACATAGCTAAAAGAAAAAGGCTAGTGATAATGTTTGGCAATATTTTTTTTGTTTCATTAAGTCATGTTCCTCACTGCCTCATGGTTGCATATTTGTGTATGAAAAGACACATCTAAAGCTCAGAAGGCAGCTAGACAAACTTTTTTTTTCTGTTTGGTCAATATCATTCACATTGAAAGTGAATCCTATTTGAAAAATTCAAGCCCCTTTTGAGTTCTTTATGCATAGCAAATTGGGATTGGATAAAACATAGACCCCCTAAGATATATGCATATACCTGATCATGTCTCCTCTTAATTTTGTTTTTCCATCTGCGGCTTATAAAATTATCAAACTGAAGATCACCTCATTGCTTATAATCTACAACATATGATTCACATGTGAATCAAGTTTCCCTAATTTTTGTGATGACAAAATTATTTGTCTGGTATGTGAAAATACAGGGAAGATTCAATAATGTATTGGAACCTCTTAGAAATTTGGTTTTATCCATTTATTTCGCTAATTAAAGTATTCTATACTTATAAGATATCATCGAAGACTTGTGTTTGATTTTAAACCATTTGAAATTTTCTATGCTTTGAAATCACAATTATTTTCTCACGCAATCTATGCTTTTCATTGTGAAAATTTAATGCATTCGTTTGATGATCAAATGATATTTAAATTTCTATTGTCATGTATATCACTGATTTTAATTATGTTGAAGGGGATGGATGAATTTCATCTTGTGTTTTAAGATCATAAAATCAGCATCTACTGCTCCAGTTTGTTTAGAGCACTTCGATTTCTACTTCTCCCAGGTAACTGAATCTGATGCAGTCGATGTTGTTGAGGTTGCTTTGAAATCTCATTCTTCAGATATTACAATTGGAGCCATGTCTCTGATTACTTTACTGAAGCTTTCATCTCGTTTTCCTACCATCTCAGAGTCAGTACTCACTCTATAATAAAATTTTGACTTACTTTATTGCCATGCTTTTGGTGCTTTCGCCTCTACTAGATGACTTCCTCAACTAGCATGCACTTCTTGCAGGAGGATAAGAGAGCTTATTATACAACACAAAGGTAACTTTGAGCTAGAATTACAGCAAAGATCAATTGAATTTAATAGTATCATGCAGAAGCACAAAAACATAAAGTGAGTTGCAATTTATCCTCCACTTGAGGTTATTATTAGGGACCTGAGCTTATATTGTTATACAAATGCTAAAATCATTAATAAATGCACAGATCTTCTTTGCTTGAAAGGATGCCTGTTTTGGATGAGTTAACTTACATAGGAAGGAAGGATGGCTCTTCAACGGATGGCCTTCCTGTCAAGCCCAGCAAAGCAACCCTTTCAGGAGCTTCACTCAATTTGCAAAATGGCGTGACGAAGCCACCAGCACCATCTATGGGGGATTTACTCGATTTGAGTTCTGATGATGTCCCTGCCACCAAGTCATCAACCAATGATTTTCTGCAGGACCTATTGGGTGTTGATTTGGGAACACCTTTACCATCAGGTTTTCCTTCTCATTTCTCTTTTTCTGTTTAATTAAGCAACTACTTTTTTTTATACAGATCAATGACTTTATCTTGAGCGTCTTTCTTTTCCTGAAACAATCTATTTGCACCATTCTTCCAAGTTTTCTCATACCGAGTCTATGAGGTTTTGCCTCAATATTTTTTAGCTTGTGCGGGTACGTATTCCATTTGCTCGTCAATCTGAGTTATTTCCTTTTATATTTATGCATTACATTTCTGTTGAAGATGCGTTGATCCTTTTGCATTCTATTTGATGAATATGAAATAGATAACTTTTTGAGTGGTTTTCTTAGGCTTAAATGGTTACATATATATACGAACATGATCATTCTTTTTTATATCTTTTTGTTTAATAAAATTTTTTTGATTGATTATTGTAGACTTAGGGGCCTCATAATCTATAATGGTGGTCTTTTTATAAGAAAATTACACAACATAAGTCATAAATGTTTAGAAATGGTTCAGAAGCTTGGAATTACCATGAAAAAAATTGATGTTTGCTCGGAGGTTAAATCATAAATATTATCTCCAGTTCCTTAATGATTTAGTTTTCTAGTAATTTATATGAATCTGAAATTAATGAAAGAGTTGTAAAACTAGAAAGTCCATATAAAAATATAATGAGGTCCCTTTTTCTTGTGTGGCCCCATCTACGATACACTGCCTCTTCGCTTCTACTCATTTAAGATTGAATTAATTATGGAACATAATTAGTTATCCAAATAACCCATTGGGACTATTAAAGTTCTAAATCACAGTAACTCGAGAAAAAGAAATATCATCTATGCTAGTCATTAATTTAAAGGAAAATTGAAATATATACAACTCAACTTCTAACATCTCAAATATTATATTTACATACTTAAAACCTAAAATTATCCAATATATCAAATACACAACTCTGATGGTTTCCTCTCTCTCTCTCTCTCTCTCTCTCTCTCTCTCTCTGTTAGCAAGTGCATAAGCATCGGTTGCTTTGTTAACCCCCACCAATGCCTTTGATGCAATATTAGAACGGGCTTCCCCCGGTCCCATACAAGTTCTCGTGCAAGATTGAATGTTTAATCATTGAGAATAAAAAGCAAACACGTTATTAGCAAATTTTATTTGTCGCATAACGTACCAGGCTTTATATAAATATTAAGGTTGAATTCAATGAGCTTTATTGTAGAAGTGGCGATAAAAATGTCTCTTGGCTTTAGATTGCAGTGAACATTCCCTACATAAAGTTCAAAAGAGAGGATAAGGCTTCTCGCTTGAAGAAGAGGTCATTTTTTTTTGGATTTCCACGACCAAATGCATGTAATTGGTTTCCTTATACACGGCCTTAAGGTTGATAACATTATGGTGGCCGGAATGCTTCATCATTACCTCAATGCCGAGTTTGATGTTATAGGCCTCATCTGAGAAAATGGGATGGTTTTCGATTAAGGATTTGCAAGCATGATTTTCACCTGTGACTAAATTTGAGCAAGCACAATTCACACAGAACTATCTTTGGCAATGAATTGTCATGCAAGGATCTTGTACTGAATTGGAGTAAGCCTAGTTCACACTAACTGATCCCACCCAAACTTTTCATGAGGACATAGTAGTCTCCAAGGTAGGAGACACATGAGTTGAAGAGTGGATGGCAGTGGACGGAGAGGGAAGAGGGCAAATGAAGTGGCATGTTAGGTGTATTTGATATTTCTAGGTGTTAGGTTTGTAAATATAATATTTGAGGTGTTAAATATGTAAAATGAGTAGTTTTAAATCTTATGTATGTAAATCCCCCTAATTTAAATTATGAAAGAAATTATATCCTGTGCTAAAAATATGAATAACAAATATGAATGTAGATATTATTAAACCTTTAAAACAATGTATGATAGTGTGATCATGGTATTTAGTTTTTCATGTTAGTCTTTTAATGAACTTATCATTATCATATTTATATTTCTTTTCTTTCTTTATATTAATACATCTATCTCAGGAGCACCTTTTAAACATAGTTCAACTCACCCTTACTTGAAACATATCTCGTCACACAGCTGGGCATATATTAAGTTCATTATTATCTGTAGTGGGAATACACCAACTCACCTTTGGTCAATATGTGCCCTGTTGGTATAGTGAGGCGTGGGCCTAATTTTCACTATTATCTGAGGAAAAAAAGTCATCAACGCTTTGGTGCTGTAAGAGGGTGAATTCTTTTTATCAACATGCACTCGAAGCATTTCTATATGCATTATTTCATTTGCCTTGTTATTAGTATGCAAACTCCTTTTGTGAGAAATATATATTTTGTCCGAGTAACAACAGGTCATTATATAAGAATCTAAATGTCATGCTGCGAGAATTTAATGTATCAAAAAGAGAAACTATTGAACATTTATGAAGTAAAACTAACTTGTATGTTTCATTTCTAACAATTTGACAGATCAATTGCTGATAAATCATAAAAAGTCGTAAGGTTTATCACAACTCTAACATATTTAATGCATGTAGAACTTAAATTAAAAGTATATTGGTTAAGTGCATAAAGATTAGAAGTAGGAATACTATTAAAATTTAGAAATGCAACTATCAACTTTAAGATTTGCAATTTTCATTGTTCAGTTTGTTCTCGAATATTTGCTTTCATGAATCAAAACCAAAATTCATGTATAAGGCACATATATGATGAAGAAAACCATTAAACGTTCTTATATAATTAAACTAATCTTAAAATTTCTTTTAAAAATTATTATTATGAATCGTAACTCTCTACATTTATACTATTGTAATTTAAACCTTTATCAATTGAACGTTTACTGTTTAACTTCTATGCTCTTCATTTATTATTAAGTTTTTAAAATAGAATCATTTTAATTTATAAGGGAACCTATACATAAGAACACATTAATATTAGATATCAAATTAAGTTAGAAACATTGAACCAATAAAAGGAACCTATATTTAAGTATTTAATTAAGAAGTTAAAGAGGATTTCATATTTAGAGTAATTCAATTCCAATTTGAGTATATGCAAACTATTATTAATTGTTATGGAACTTGTTAAAGTTATTTAATTTTGCATAGAACATTAAACGATCAGCTAAATTTCATATCTTGCATTTCAATTTCATATATATTATTTTCTAAGCAAGCTAATCACCCACAATGACAAATAGTGTTTTCTTTAATATTAATTTCTTGTGAAATCCCTAAATACATATAGAATTTTTTCATATATTTAAGTATTTAGTTAATCAAAAGGAACTCCAACTAAGATTATTCTCCATCATGAAATTATTTCTTATTCTTAGTATGCTAATAAACTTTCACTTTGCGCGTTGCTTTTTATTTTTTTTTAACGTAGTATAATTTAAATAATTATCACTTGTTCATAATCATATAACATAAACATTAATGATAAGCACATTATATTAATATGTAGACCTCCATAATTTAAGTTTTCCCTGTACTCTTTCTCTAAACATATTAATAAGAAGGATTTTATCATTGAAAATCATACGTCAAGGTACATCCTCCTGTAACGTTTTAGTAAAAACATTCATAACTAAAGCAAAAATATATGGGTTTAAAGCTGATCCCTACTATAATCCAACTAAAATAGGAAAATACTTGATCAATTCTCTTTCTGTTTGAACACAAGTAACAACTTTAGTATACATATCTTTGATGACTTGAATGTAAGTCATATGAACACATTTCTTTTCTAGTACTCTCTAAAAAAACTTCTCTCGGAATCAAAAAACTTCTCTCGAACTTCTCTCGGAATCTTATTGTAAGTTTTTTCTAAATCAATAAAAATCATATGTAGATCCTTTTTACTTTCTCTGTACTTCTTCACCAAAGCTCTCAATAAATATATAGCTTCAATGGTAGACTTGCCCTACATAAATCCAAATTGATTATGAGAAATCTTTGTATTACATCTTAATATCTATTATATAACTCTCTCCCATAATTTTAATGTATGGCACATTAGCTTAATTCCTCTATAATTGGCATACTCTTGTGCATCCCCTTTATTCTTAAAAATGGGGATCAAAATATTGTTCCTCCACTCCTTAGGCATTTTTTTATTTTAGATTTTAAATATTTGAACAAGATAAACAAAAGAGAATTAAATGTGTATATGAGGCGAGAATATTAACCAGAAATGTATAAATTTCTACTTGTTAATTTAATTATTTTTCTTATTGACTCTTTCATGTATATTTGAATATTAAACTGTTAGTGATGGAAATAGAATAACAGAGAATTGATTTTCAACGTTCGACCATCCGTTCCTGTTTTAGTTAATTCCAAACCTTGGGCCAGGTCGTGATAGATGAGGACAATGTTGAGTGGTAGGCATGGGGTTGAAGGCAAAGGTTCTCGTGATGGTTCTAAGGAGGGAGAAAATGTAATAAAACCCTACCTAAGAACTCTTAAATTTGGACAATGTAGTGGAGTACTGAGCTAGATTTGATTGTTGGGTTAGTAAAGCTTTATTTTTTAATTTTTATTTTTAATTGTTTGTCAGCCATCTCTGCTAATCTTTCTCACAAATGTGCTTCAGCAACGCCATTTTGTCACATCTGCTTTGCTTATATCTGCAATCTTCTACACACTTCCATTTGGCATAATTGGTCATATTGGTATATAAATGTTTAGTCAAACCACCATGAGTCTCTTTTACAATGCTCATCAGCAGTACTATTTATTTTTGTATGCATGCACACTTTCTTCCTTATAAAGGTGAAAAATGGAAGAAGTATAATGTTCTCTGGATAACTGAATTTCTTTTTTCCTTCGGCCTATAAAATTGTGCTATTATAAGCTGCTGCTGCTTTTATGCCGATGCAACATTTATAAACTGTCCTACGTGCTTCATGTTCTTAAATCAATTTTTAGGTATAAATGCTGCATCTTTTCTCAATAAGACGTAATTTTTTTCTTTCTTGTTATTATTTTTTTTATTTTTTCTTTGCAAAACGTGTGAAGGTGCTGCTTTCGCTGGAGGCTCAGATATTTTGATGGATCTTTTATCAATTGGTTCTCCCGTTCAAAATGATTCGTCACCATTAAATGGCATCTCAACCAGTGTGGCCAATTCTTCAGCGGTTGGTCCTCTGGATGGTTTGTCATCTTTAACTTCCACGTCCACATCCCTATCTTCTGAAGCATTGGCCATAGATCCTCTGAGAGGGATTGATCAAATTACCAGATCGCCTCCATCCACCGTTCCAATAGTAGATTTACTGGATGGCTTGTCAAATCATGTAACTGTTTCAGGTCAGTCTTTTGCCTTACCATTTATTATGTTCCTAACTGGTGAAGCTTTAATATACTCACTTAAAACAGGTAGTGAAAAACCAGATTTTCCATCCATAACTGCTTTTGAGAGCAATTCATTGAATATCATGTTCAGCTTCACAAAGCTGCCTGGGAAACTCAATGTTACGCATATCAAAGCTACCTTTACAAATAAATCATCGAATACATATACAGATTTCATTTTTCAAGCTGCTGTTCCAAAGGTACGTGAAATATAATTGTTATTTTGATGCAATTTTTTTTGCCATCTAGTTTTTCTTTAATTATAATCATAAATATTTAGTTTGCGACTTTTGAACTGACTGATGGAACTCCCACCTAGAACTTTTTACAAAAAATAATATTTTCAACTTTTAACATCTTAACATGGTTAACTTGAGCAAATATCTTAGCTGAATTTTTATTTAGTTCTTTCACTTGCTTGTGTTCCTTTTTCGTCATTTTTTGTTGCAACCAAAAGAAAAACGAATGCCAAAAGTTATATTCAATGCTGAATGTGATATAAAACATGAATCCAGTGTTCTTGTTTAATGGGGGAAGCTTGGGTTTTTATTCCAAAATATTCTGGAAAATATCAAAATTGCAAAATGAGGATGAGTTTGCTTCGCTCTAAAAGATATGCAGATTTCGTGATTATTCTTCAAGTTTCATGCTCAGCAAGCTAAGCAAGGTTAACTTTGAATTTTAATCAACAGAGTAAAACTCGTTAACTGTACTATCTATACATGTTCTGATCCATTAAATTCACTAATTAATCATAATATCTATTTATATCGTGTTCCATCAAATCCTGCACTGCTGTGTTTAGGTACCACTTTGAACTATGTTGCTCAAGTCCCTATATTCACGAGTTGTAATATGTTGGGATGTAGTGTTAATATTCATGGAATGAAAGTGACGCGGAGGTCATCGGGGTTATGGAGGATCAACCGGTCCTCAAAGGGAGGGGGGTTGCCGCTCCCTCCCTTAACCTTCTCTCCCATTCCCCTCTTTTCTTCTTAACACCTTCCTAATAAAAGTTTCCAAATCGGAATTTCTGAATATTTTTATTCCTTTTAGAATATTTTTATTCCTCTTACCTAGTTCTGAGATCTTATTTTATTCTTTCTTATTTTAAAAACCTTTCCTAAAATTTAAAATCTGATTTTATTGTCCTTTCTTATTTTAAAAGGTCTTTCATAAAATCTGAAATCAAATTTTATTCTCTTTTTTTTTTTAACTATTGTCTAAAATAAAATCCGAGCCTCATTATAAAAAGAGGATAATGTGCTTAGAGTTAGTGGTCTTGTTTTTGATATTAAATTCAGGTTTTAGTCTTGGTCTTTTCCCTTCGAGCGCTGTATCCGACATCGAGGTAGTGCTCTGGCTGTTCCTCATTCGAGGTGGTGATCAGCTTTAAGAGTACGAGTGGTGCTCCGACTATAGTTGGACCTCGACGAGGCATTTATTTTACCATTCTTTCGTTTCCCTGTTATCATTTCAGAATTTAGCCATCACAGCCCCCTCTTCTTTGCTGCAAGCCAGCCACCTTCATGCTCTTGTCTAACAACCGCAGCCCCTCCAACTTGTTGTCCAGCTCTTTCAGTCCCGTCCCGACAGCCTACCGACACCTCTACAGTAGCTACCTTGCTTTCCCGTCCTTTATAATCACTGCTAGTGCTTCCCTGCTTTCCGTCCACCCTCTGAAAGTGCTGGCGAACCTTCCCAACTGCTGTCATACTTCTTCCACAGCAGCCCCCACCACTCCGGCTGACGTGGGTTCTTAGGAGCGGCGTTTGAATCAAGGCGCAAAATTGTGCACCTAGCGGGACGCTTCAAACAGCGGGTTGAAGCTCCACAAAACCGCGCGAAGCAGATCGGCTTCTTCTGAACTCGCAAAGGTGGGAGAACGCGCGACAGGAGGGATCGCAAATTCTCGCGATCCAGCTGATTTTTCGCACCAGATCTTTCTAGAAAAGGGTATTTTGGATTCTTCTTGCCTTTTTCACTCTTTTTCTCTTGTGTAATAGTAGGAGACTATAAATAGTTGCCCCTTGAGTGCGTGGCAGACATTACTACTAGAGTTGTCTTCTAATCTCTTGTGTAGAGTTTTTCCCTCTTGTTAGTGTTGTAACCGACAGGTGGTGTTTCGGTTGTATCCTGCTCCAAGGTGATGTTGTAAACTTCAAACTCCTTGGCTACTACCTCTCACCGATCCCTTTTCCCTACCACTCCACTCTATCGTCACCGCTACTTTCTCGACTGTCTCGCATATCAATCCACATACAACCAACCCACACAATCCCTTACCTACCCAACAACCGCTCATCCCACCAATGCCGCTATCGCCTTCGAATTGTTCCTATAGCTTTAGCTAGACACTCGTCTATTCTTGTATTTCTCTTTTGTTTGAGTCGTGTTGTATCATTATTTTTATATTAATAAAAGTTTACTTTGTTTTTATTTGGCCAAGTCGTGTTGTATCACTATTTTTATATTAATAAAAGATTACTTTGTTTTTATTTGGCCTACATTCTGACTAGCTCTGGTATCATTTGATATCAGAGTCAGCTCAACTCTAGTCTTATCCTAGGGTTTCCTCAACCTCCCCTCCCCCCAATTCACCTCTATCAACATTTTTCTTCCAATTCCCAACTCTGGTCATGCCACCACAAAGAGATACATTAGGCTTTACTTGGGAAGAGATCTAACGTGGAATTCGTCGTCTGCTAATTTAGACGACAGGAACTAAGAAGAGATTACCTTCGCTCTTGATCAATAGATTCATAGGGAAGACAAAGACGAAGATCTTAATCCGTTCCACATGGAAGATCACAACAACAAAGAATATCGTTCGTGTCGTTTTGGCATCCAATCTCAAAGGAGGTCGAGAGAGGAGGCTCCTTATGGAAGTTAGAGGGACTTTGGCATCAAGATGGGTCTCCCAGAGTTCAAGCGAAGCATGGACCCCGATGAGTTTATCAACTGGCTGCAAATAGTCGAATAAATCTTCGAATATAAAAGCATACCAGAGGACATGCGAGTCAAGCTAGCCGTAATTAAACTATAGAAGAATGCCTTCTTATGGTGGGAGAATCTACAAAGGAAAAGAAAGAGGGAAGGAAGTGAAAAAATAACCAAGTAGGAGAAAATGATGACAATAAAGAAAAAATACCTCCCATCACAGTATCGCCAGTATCACCAGGGCATGTTCTCAAAACTTCACAACTTGCAGCAATGAGATCTATCAGTTGAGGAGTTCAAGGCCCAGTTCGACCACGTGCAACTAAAGTGCAAGCCGACAGAGCCAGAGGAGCAAACAATCGCCATATATCTTGAAGCCTTAAACCCCGCCATTAGCAATGTGGTACAACTACAGTCATACTGGACGTTGAGGGGCGTTCAGGCACTAGCCCTGAAGGTGGAGAGACAACGGAAGCAAAGTAGACAACGATCATCGTTCAGACTGCCACCTTCAACTAAGCGGTCGCCTGCAACTGCTATAGCTGACAAGGGTACCTCGGGAGGAAATAACATAATTGACAAGGGACTGACAAGGCAAATCAAATCGAGAGGAAGCCAAAAAAAGGTAGTTCCTCCAGTACAGTGTCAGTCAGGAAGTGTTTCTGGTGCTATGGCTCCTCTCACATTGCCTTCAACTGTCCAACAAGCTGTGTGTTCAACCTCATGGATCAAGGCACTGTCGAGGAGTCGATGAGGAATCAGAGGAGAGCCCAGAAGAAGAGTTTTAGCTCCACGAAGATGAAGAAGCACTATTCTTTGGACGAATACTACAGTCTGAGCCGGTGCGAGACCAATTGTGGCTAAGGCATAACATTTTTCGCACCAATTGCATGGTTAAAGGGAAGGTCTGCATCCTGATTATCGACAGTGGTAGCTGTGAAAATGTGTTATCAACGCTCATGGTAAAAAAGTTAGGTTTGGACACACAAAAGCATCGTTAGTCATATTCCTTTATATGTTTAAAGAAGGGAAACTAGATACGTGTAGAACAACAGTGCTTAGCTGAGTTCTCCATCGGAGACCAGCTACATGAAAAGGTATGGTGTGACGTGGTTTCTATGGACGGCTGCCACATTCTGTTTGGTAGGCCTTGACAATTTGATTGCAAAATTCAACACGATAGGTTCAAAGTACTTATTCTTTCAAGAAGGATGGGAAACATATAGTGTTACTACCTGCTAAGGATACCAAAGGTTGGAGCGATACAGAGGTAGCAATATTTCCTCGTACCACTTTCCTTCAGTCGGTCAAAGATGCTCGTGTAACACCAGCATTAGTCCTCCTGGAAGGAAGCGAGGAAGAAAGAGAGATACCAGCTTTATTGCAACCATTGATACAGGACTTTCAGAATGTGATGTTCGACAGTTTACCGAAGGGATTACCACCATTAAGAGACATTTAACGCGTCATCAACTTATACCAAGATCCATATTGCCAAACTGATCAGCCTACATATTAAGGCTCGTGGGTGTGAAGAATTGCAACAACAAGTGCAGGACCTCATTGCAAGGTGGATAGTCAGAGAAAGCACCAGTCCGTGCAGCCCCAACCCTGAGGGTGCCAAAAGGATGGATCGTGGCGAATGTGCATCGACAGTCGAGCCATCAACAAGATTTCTATCAAGTATCAATTTCTCATACCCCGTTTTGATGAACACTTAAACTAGCTACATGGAGCCATTATCTTCTCCTAAATAAACTTGTGCAGCAGATATCACCAGATACAGATGAGGCCAGGGGATGAGTGGAAGATCGCCTTCAAGACGCGGGGCAAACTTTATAAGTGGATTGTTATGCCTTTCGGTTTGTTGAACGAGCCTAACACTTTAATGAGATTAATTAACCAGTTATTCCAACATTACATCGGAAAGTTTATCGTTGTCTATTTTGATGAAATTCTAGTATACAGTCGACCAGAGGAAGATCACTTGCATCACATGAAGACAGTATTTGAGGTATTGCAAGCAGAGCAACTATATGTCCATCCAAAGAAAAGTCGCTTCATAAAGAGCCAGGTATGCTTTCTAGGTTATATCATGTGTAGTGCAGACATTTAGATGGATCCCGTACAAATAGAGGTCATTATCAGCTGAGTTGTACCTCAATCATTCACCGAGCTGAGACAATTCTTGGGGCTAGCATCATTCTATCAAAGATTTATCAAAATCTTTAGTGCTATCACCTTCCTTTTGAAGAAACTT